TCATGCAGTAATTTCCTGTTCAGCCTTCTTTCTAGATTAACCCAGTTTATTTTTGCATTGCTACATCAGAGATGTAGAACGCAAATTTCTCTTATTCTATTTTCCTGGCAAATCAAGGATGCTTTCCCAGCATGCACTAACTAGATATAGGGGAATAATACATTTTCTGTTCATTTTTAGAGACATACTTCAGGACTATAATTTTAAAAACATATTCCAGTATATATGCAAAGGATGATGAGAGTCAATCAGGAAAGTCAGGAAGAATGTCCATGGAAACAGGTGGTAGCATTGGGCATCTAATGGCCTCTTTATGTGCTGTTCCAAGAGTGGATCAAGAGGACCTGGAGGCACAAAGTGAACAAGGAACCTAACCACAGCTGGTGAGTGCAGTCCACAGCATGGTGTTGCATTTGTGGCAAACCACAGCAGAGTGAGGGAATTTCCTGGTTTACATCATTCAGATACATTATCTTTATACCAGAAGTGTACCATTTGACTTTTGCTTTGAGCAGAAATACACAGCATTCACACCTTATTTTCATCCTCCTTTTCCTGGACTTGTATCCAAGCTCTTCAGTTTTGCCCTATCTAAGGAACAAAAACAAGGAGGAGGAGACAAGCTGAAGTAGTAATAATGAGATCAAGAAGTAAATCAAGTTCCTCCTATGAAACAAAACAGATGTTGATTCAACCATAATTTAGGCTGGGGAGTGAAGGGCAGCTGAACAGAACATTTGTATGAGTGAAAGCAACATTGCTGCTCAGAGGCAAATCTGCTGCAGTTTTTAAAATACACTTTTAGCATCAGAGATGCTAGTGAAAAGAGATGATTTTAGGGATTTTGCAAATTACAGCACAGTATATTAAGAGGAATGAGTGGCAATTTATCTGAATATGCTAGGCTATAAACTGAAGCTGTTCAGCAGCTGCTCCACAGGCAGCGAAACTGTCTTTGTGATGACAGTGAGAGCCTCCTGGAGAAGGGCAGGGTGGACATTCATGGGTAGGAACCATTAAAAAGCATCATTACCTATAAGTAAGCAAGCGCTGCTAAAGCATACTGAACCATATGAGCCACTAAGGCAATCTGGAAGGCCATCTCCCTTTCACTTTAGGAATTATTGAGTATTTGTTGGTTTTAACTTAAAAATTTTTTATTTAGTTCCTTACTATAATGTGATTTTAATTCTTCTGCATATTGTAGAAGTTTAACTAAGTATATAAAATTAAAGCATAGCTTCAACTTGTACTGCTGAATGTGCACCAGCAGGACACCTTAAACGCTCTTACTGCTGCTGCTTTGCCAGACCTGAGGACTCCAGTCTCAGGCACTGTCAAGCCAATGCTGTTCACCAGTGCTTTGTTTCAACAGAGAAATGTGGTGCATACAAGGGATAACAAAGGCAGCTCCTTTTTTTGAAGAACACAAAATAGATTAAGCTGGTCTCAGCTGAAAAGGATGCCATCAATTTAGACAGCAGCCTGCTCTTTCAGCTGAAAACATGGGAAATGGAGCAGCACAAATGGGTGAACTGCTTGATTCTCCAAAATATTTGTGAGATAATTAATCTCTACTGCTTTCTCTGTGTGATAGGGGACCAGCTTACTGCTCCATTACATGCAATGATATCGTTGAAGAAGGTAGGCACTTTCAAACGAGTGAGAGAAAACAGAATTTATTTTCTCTGTAACACAACGCTCTTTGTATGTTGAGAAGTTGAAAAACAAACTGTCCTTGTGTGCATGGCTCCGCAGCGCAGGAAGCTTAGGGGCAAAGGAACAACTGGAAAACAGAAAGTGGGGGTAAAGAAAGCAGTGCCAAACTTAGAGGGAGAAAGTACTACTGTAAATATACCTAATGACTAGGCATAAAAAGAAGTACTGAGTGACTCCTCGTGTTCTTGTGAGCTGGAAGCAGCTTGGTGAGAAACCTCAGGGCAATCATTCCCAAGCCTGCTGGAACAGGGCCTGTTAAGACTCCAGGATAATAGTGTTGGCTCCCCTACTGGAGCACTCCCTCCTGGCTAATGTATGGATTAGTTGGAAGAGGGCAGTTAAGGATAATGGTACAGCCCTGAGACTGAGGGAAGAATAAAATCGTGATAATAAATTCAGCCGAGGGAGAGTTAGAAAACTGAAACATTTATCAAGACGATTGTCGTGCTGTGACAATAGCAGGACTTGCCCTGGATATCATGACATGAAGCAGCTTGGGCAAGAGCATTAAAACTGCCCTAAAACATCAAATTTTAGCTAGAGTGGAGAGAGAGACTTCTGGTACACAGGACAGCAAGACACCACTGATATGCCTATTCTTGAGTCACTAATCTGAATTTTTCTTATGTGCTTATGGCTAGAGAACATTTCAGTCATTCCTCCAATAAGATGTTTAAATTTCCTCATGTACTGCTCAGTACGTCACTCAAACTCTCCAACAAAAGGATCCCTGCTGAAAGCACTGCTTTGTCATGCTGGATCTTCAATGCAGGCCTCGCTGATCTCAGAGCTGGAATGCACAGACATAGCATGTTTCTTCTGTAGAAAGCTTTTTAGCAATTGTTTGTTAATTAACTGAAGTGTGTGTTTGTTTATTAGTATTTTAAAACTTTGTAACTTTAAGCCATTTTTTTTTACTTTAAACTTTTGTTATAATGTCAAAAGATATTTTAATGTAGCTTCTAACCAGTTTCTAAATGTTGTTAAAAAATTATAAAGGAAAAACTAAAGGCCTCAGGATTGTTTTCCTGGTCATAATATGTATCCCATAATGTATCCTGCAATTCCTAAGCATCCCTGGACACAAACATCTCCCAGGCTTCTGGAGTGCTGAACTGATTTGAATTAACGTTCAATCAATGCTGTGAACTACTGATGCCCTCTCCTCAGCCCTGCAAATCCCTGCAGCAGGATCAGTGGTTCTGGCAGACTTTGCTGCCTTCAAATCCAGTACCAGAATGCCCTCTGAGGACTACAGATGCTTGCTTGCAGATGTGCCCACCTTGAGTAGCTGACGGATTCTGTCAGCCACGTGCACTAACAGCCAGCTTCTGGCTGCGGAAGACAAATGGTCCCAGGACCTGGGACCCCCCGGTAGTGTGGGCGTCCCTGCCTCATGCACCAGCATGCAGGGCCTGAAGCTGTACCCCAAAATCTCAGCTTTTCATATCTCCAACTGCATCTAAGGGCAGCAATAATCTTACATAGGCAGCATCTCTATGGGAACAGCATTTCAAATGGCACAATACTGAATTCTGACCTAAGGAGATCTGGTAAACTCAGCAGGGTGTTTTTTTTTTTTCTTTTTATCATTTATATGTCATAATCAGTAAGTCATTTTCTTATCAGAAAGAAATTACATGGCCCAAATTTATCATTTTCAAGGACTGTGTGGTATTTGTAACCTTTGCTTCCAAAAGCAACAAGGCACAGATTCTTTTTACCCAGCAGATGGCCAACTGCTCTTGGTTAGAGAAAATAAAACCTAAGCAGAAGCTTTCTCACTAACATTTATAGCCCTGCAGATGGACACATTGCAGGAAAGGCAGCTTTGTTAATAAATCAAAAAAACTATAATAACTTTAAGTTCAAGGCCTAATCATTTTTTTTTTTCTTTTGACGACTTTTCTTGAGCAGTAAAATACATGCAAGGCCTCAGGGAGCTCAGGGCCTTGTTGTGTGCTCCAGGGATGTGTGGTATTTTACTGCCCTAAGGAGTATGAAAGGCTGAAGTAACAGACATGATAGCCTTTGTACCACTGAAAAAACCTCAGAAATATAAACCTTAATTACAGGAGAAAATATAAGTAAATGCTTTGAAGTTTTGCTCAATACAACTCTATCCACCATGCCCTGATCTTGTTCCCTGAAAGTTCCCTTTATTCACCAGGGCATTGAAGATTTGGGTAGTCCCACCTGCATTTGGTGACTGCAGTTCTGTACAACGCCTGTGACTCTAGATGAAGTCAGAGGGTATTCCTAGAAAGGAACTTAGAAATCTAAACTTGATCTAGTATTTTCTCCAAAATTCACATTCTGGATTAACCCAGCAGTTCAGAGATGGTATTAGTATGTACGAACACTCATCCTTAGGTGACAAGCTCATCTTGCATACTGAGAGTTACCCCTAATGTTTAGTCTCTCACTATCAACTTTTAGGCAGTAGGTAGTTACCAGCATAGGCAGACTGGCAGGCACCTACCAGCGTCAGTAAAGGTCTCACAATGACAAAACAGACTAGTTAATGGAAGAACAAACTTTCATCCACACCCAGGACACCACACAGTCTAATCTAGCATAGCAACCACTAGCAGACACTCAAAACCCTGGGCACGGGATGCTCAAAAGGCTTAAACTGACCCCAGTCACAGCCCTTGTCCACCCACATCTCCAGGAACTGAGGACAGAGTAGATACCTGTTCTCTTCCCAGAGGAGTTGCTCTACTCGCAGTAGTTTTCCCCCTGCTTTTCCCTTGACCACAGAGCTGTTACAGTGATATTTGATCACCAGGGAGGTGTATGTATGCCCCATCAGAGATTACTGCACTAATCGCTGTAGTGCAGAGATTACAGATAAATTTCCTGCTTTAGTAGATATAATTTTCAGCAAAATTTGAGTTACTGTTTTATTATTCTTATGTACAGCCAATTATTTTTTTCTGTCTAAGAGTCTTTCAGATGGCAACACAGTGAAGAATACAGAGTGAGACAGTATGACTGTATGTTAGGAAACTAAGAAAATTAGCAGGACTCGTACAGGCAGATAAAGTAAATAAAATAGCATTAACACTCTTAGCGAAGCATTACAGACTTTGAAATGACAAAGTCCTTTTCAACAAGCTTTGTATTACTTACACACCAATGCAACGTGTTGTGCAAACAGTTTTAACTCTAATCTTACTGAAACAGGAGATTAGGTAACCAGGCCACAATGCGCACATGGCCTTTTGAAGGGAAGTGTAAAAGGCAGTAAAGTATTATGAAAGTGTTGTTACAGGAGTAAAAGCTCTTTAGAATCATTCTAACTCCTCCTTTCACAAGAGAAGGAGGTTGTTTAAACTCTGTGCTGTGGTATATTATGCATTTAAGCCATAAAAATAAACTTTGGGAGATAGATATTGCACGCACAAGTCATAAAGGGTGCCATAATCATTTGCCTTTCAGAGGTGGAAAATTATATTGGAAGTTATACAAAAGTATGTGCAAATGGGATAAGAAATGCCAAACAGGAAGAATGAAAGGTTTCTGGAAAGCAACTAACCTGATGGGAACTTCTGCACAAGTAAGGTCAAGCGTGCTTCCCTACTCTGCCTCCTGCTAATGTTCTCTGCCATTCTGCCCTTCTACCACAGCATCTGTTACCATGATAGGATTTTACTGTTTCTAGCCCTGCCCCTCGTCTCTAAACTTAGTTATTGATTTTTGGCACCCTTTTTCCTTTCGTGCTTATATTTGTTTCAGGCAACAGCAGCTGCATAGAATAAATCCTTTGGGTTTTATAGAGCCATTGTTCAAAGCTGTTTTAAGAGTGTTACTACATGTTTGCAATAGTAAACAACAATATAAAGAAACTGGAATTAATAAAAAACATCATAAAAAAGCAGAGCTATATATTGCTATACAGTCAAAACAATTAGAAGTATGCATGTACAAATCTTATTCTTCGATTAGCATGTCATGAAGGAATCATCATTTTTAGAGGAAGCATGCAACACTTATTTCATCCACCAGGATGTGTCATTGCTTTTTAAGATTTGGAACCATTTTTGAATAAGCACCACAGGGCAGAGATGTTAGATTCTCTTTCTTCATTTTGTAAGTAAATGTCACCTTAGGTCCTCTTTCAACCAATTAGCCAGTACTCTGTTGCATACTGGAACAACCACTGGGATGATCTAGCTATGTTCAGAAGACAATTGTTCTGAAGGGAGAGATATTCCAGCTAAGAATACAATCTACCCTCCTTTCTATTATATACCCTTCCTGCAGAAGAGAAGTGTTTGGCAGACAACTACTTGGGGATCACTATACCAGCTCAAAGGCTGCCTTACAACACAGTTATACCTGGAAGTCCATATTGAACCTCACTGCTGGAAAAGGAGAATGGCTTGGCTGTACCAGAATTTTCTCTGTGGTCTTTTTTTTTTTTTTTTTTTGACTGGGTTAGCCAAAAATTACTAGTTAAAAGAAATGTATGCTTAGAATTGATGAATTCAGAGTTATCAGTGAGATTTGCTATTTTAAGGACTGTTCACCATTTTACAAGAAAGAAAAGAAAATGACAATAAATATCTTTTGATAACCTTGCATATTCCACTAACATAGCCAATTCCTATTTTGAGAAAAGCTGCAGTATATTGTGCATTTTTGTATTAGCTAGAACTTCAGAACACAAGATGGCAGTGTACATTGCAGTGAATTCAGGCTTCTAGCTGCTCCTGTTACTCAAATAGAACATATAACATTTTATTCAGTCATATATTAATCTGATCGTGTAATTGCAGTATTAGAAATAAACCTAAAAGTATTTATCAATGGTAGAAACAAATGCAATTTGCCAATAAATGAATATTGCATGAACAAGTGTTAGGTAAAGCTTAATTCAAGCTTTTATCGTACATAACAATGCTCTGGAGACATTAAAGCCTCTTATGGAACTCCTCAATTGCAATAACAAGAGAGTATCCCTTTATGAAGGAATGGAAGCTGGCTCAGTCATAAGAGCTTCAGAGCAAAATTGGCTGCTGGGGAAAAGAACATAAGAGAGCTGGCAGTCTAAAATATGTAAAAAGCTCAGGGCTCTCTGAGGAGCACTGCAGACCACTGAAATGGAACAGACTGAACAGTATCTAAAATTGAACAGGTGCCTTTCCATGCAAAAAAGAAAAAAAAAAAAAAAAAAAAAAAAAAAAGTGGTCAACTGTTTGGCATGACAATTCAGAAAAAAAAATCCACTGAGGAACACTGAATTAGAGGAATAAGTCTCTGTCTGAGGACAAAATTTCTTAAACAGATACAAGGAGTCAGACCTCTCTGTACACAATTTCAGTTATGCAAAGTCTCCCTGAGTACAAGTGGCCAAACAGAACTGCAAAAAGAAACTTTCTCTGTAACTACTCACTACTCTCTCTTCTGAGGTTGAGTTGAATGTCAGAGTCAGCAGGTATAGCTTGAAAGTTGTCTTAGCTGTCTTTCTGAACTGAATTACTAGCATTTGGTTATACACATGTCAACGTATTAGAAAGGCTTGCTACATAGTAAAAAAAGCCCTAAGGAAAAATAGCAGCATTTCAGAGTATAAAATCATCACAGAAGGCATTATCCCGGGCAGATGTGTAACACTGACAAAATTCCAGGCAGCCCTGCTCTCTCCATAGGTGCTGCTCAGGTTACCTTACCTCCCTACATCTGAACTCACAGTGCTAGTGACAAGTGAAACCGACCTGGATCATCAAAACTCAACACTATTGGTTTTATTTCAAGACTTTTTTTCCTCTCTCTTTCTGAATTTGTATAAGATTGCATTTGGCATTGATTCAGGTCAAATAATTCAAACATCATTTTTTGCCTGGTATTTAAACTAAGGCTGGGTGTGGGCTCATGACTAAAATAAAGTGTCTAACCTAGCTGTTTCAGTCACTTGGTCTATTTATCACAGTAGATTACAGTATGTGTGGTATGCACAGAATTATGCGTGTATTTCTCAGCCATCTAAAAGGGAGGATAAATTGAATGTGTCATGGTTTTAGGGCAGTAATTTATATTGAGTACAGGGCCGAGAATGGACCTGAGCCAAAACCTCAGATCTAAATTACCTTGAGTTCCAGGGAAATTTTAATCCAAATAAAAACTTCACAGCTGCTCATTATATAATTAAGTGAACCAACAAAGACCATTTCTCAGCACTCTCAAACATTTACATCCACATTTAAACTCTGTGGCTTCATCCATGGATGCCCTATACTGACCCTCATCATGGAAGTTCTTGTATGTAATTAGTGCCTCTCAGATTCTGCTGTCTGATACAACCATTCTGAATGTTTCTGCTGGCTTTGAGAAGTTACGCCATTATGTATAGTAGTCTTTAACCTAATGGTATTTCCTCTCTGAGCGTATGTTACAATGATTCACAAATTAAATATTTTTCATGTATAAACTATTGAAGTTGGTCTCACGGCCTCCTTTTCATTTCAGGTTCTTATTCAAGATTTGATTTTCAAGAGTACATCTTCCTTTAGCAACCATGGGAATTAACTTCTGAGTTTCTGCGAATGCACTTGGGTTGTCCAGTCTGGAGAAAAGGAGGCTGAGAGCCATCTTCACTGCTGTCTGCAGCTTCCTGAGGACAGGAAGCAGAGAGGGAGGTGCAGCTTCTGCTCCTTGGGAACAGATGGCAGGATGCACAGCAAAGGCACGAAGCTGAGCCAGGGAAGAGTATTCCACCGCATCCCATCCCATCCCATCCCATCCCATCCCATCCCATCCCATCCCATCCCATCCCATCCCATCCCATCCCACTCCACTCCATTCCATTTTATGTTATTTGTCAGCCCACATAGACATACAGTGAAATTTCTTCTTTAGGTAAAATAGTTCTTATTTTTCTATTCAGAACTAATCCTAAGCTAACCTTCTTGTGCGAGGTATAACCAATTTTGATTTCTGATTATAGGGAACTATAATCAGAGATAACTTCCACTCCCCTCACAATAAAATTTTGCTCTAAGAGCCCACCCCATGAATGATCCATTCCTCCCTGGACTTTCACAAAATCATCTCTTTGACGTAGCCCTACATAAATCAAAATTAATTTATTTCCTGGAGTCCAAAACAACTTCTTCCCTCCAAAATAAATACTTCTCTGAACATTAAATCCTGATTACACTTGCGAATTCAGGAAGCTGTGGTGCAGCAGAATGATAGCAGTCCTAGAGGCACTGTAACCTGTTCATTTACTGAAAGCATCATCTCTCTGCCTTTCATCAACTCATAATGTGAAAGACTACGTCTGGTCTATGAGGGCGTGGAGCAGGAAATGTGAGTGGGCAGAAGACTGCTACCTTTTGGTCCAGCAAGAGGCACCCAGGCTCCAGCTGGGGCTGCAGAATTTAGAGCTGTCAGGGCAGGGGGTGGATGGAAGAAAGGATGCTGGGGGTTAGTGCTGCCCCAACATTCCCCAGGTAAGCACTGATTATAATAATTGTTAAAAGTAAAAGGCAATACATTTAAAATTGGCAAAAGTAATATGCCTATGAAACATGCTGGCAAATGGTATCGCTGAGGCCAAGTGCTTAGCAGGATTTAGTAAAAGGTTATACATACATATTCATACATTTATGTGGGGAATTAGATTGGACCCGATAAAAATTCATAATGGATATAAATGTTCACAGTTCAGGGCATAAATCAGCCACCAGCCTGAGGTTAGAAAATAACTTCCCCTATAGTCAGGTTGTTATATAATTATCCATTATAGTGGTGGAGGGGGGGGGGAAGAGGTTGAAGAATAGGGCAATTTCCTCAGCGACATCTGGGAATTACTATTGTCAGACAACTAATTTAGATTTGATCTGGTATGGAAGTTCTTATTACATCAAATAATGTAATTTAGAATTAAAGAATATGATTTATTTTTTATTTCTTACTCTTTATGTAATCAAGTTCATGCCTGAGGGTAACTGCAAGCCTTTCCCATATAGCAGGCCAAAGTTAGTGAAATGTACTCTGCTGTGTTTTCTCACAGAACCTCCTTAAAAACAGCTTCAAATTTTCCAAGGAAGTCAGGCAGAGTCCCAGGAATTCAGTTTGCTGAGATGCTAGCCAACTAATATAGCCAACTTACTGGCTATATTAGAAGAGACAAATTTCTGTGCTTGAGCTACAGTAAAAATCTCACATCCTGAAAAGTTATTTTTGTTAAATTTGTTAAATTCACAAAATAACATAAAAAGACTGGCAGAGATCCCGAACATCAAAAGTTATAGCACTTAGGCTACTTTGTGCCTGTTTTTTCTACTTGGTATTGTCAGCACACCTAAGTAAATCATACGTGTTCCTATGGACTTGTTTACATGAAGCAACGTCTCTTCAGCTTTCTTGTTGAACTTACAAACTGTGAAAGCTAACATAACACACACTACACTCTAATAGAAACATCCTTTGTGACCTTGAAAACAGATGGTTTGATTGAAGATGGTTTGATTAAGAATTTACAAATGAATACAGGAAAACATTCCTGTGCAGGAATTCAGTGGAAGAGTCAAGGAATATTGGCTGCATTCTGCTATGGTTTCTAGAATGTATGTGCTACACCTACTGCAATTGTAGCATAAATTAGCAACACAATAGATGTGTGAAACTAAGGGACATTTATTAACAGAACATCTCACAAATTTTCAGAGAAAAAAAGTGTGATACTTGGCATCAGTCTCTTAGAGTTTCTGTTCCTAGTGAAGTAATACTAGAAACACTAGACAGCACTCACACTCTGGAAGGTTTAGGACCACAAGCAAGAAACATTTTGGTTTTATGAAATAAAAATCTTTCTGTGCAAACTTGTGATCTGTTCAGAGAGATTTATAGAAGGAATAGCTGAAGAGAAGGCAGCAGATGTAGCATAGCAGATTTTTTTTTAGTTTCCGTGTTCCATAAAAATTTTAGTTGAAAAATTAATTCAAACTGGCTTTGATAAGAAAGCCGTAACTTGGCTTGCTGCTACAGACCACCTGTCCCCTGAATGCAGGCAAGCAGGCGTCTCCTATCAGCCGGGGTCCCCCCAGCTCCGTGCCAAGCGCTGTAGGTGTTGCTGGCACGGCACTTTGCAGGCTCTAGTTACCAGGGTGTCCTCATTTAACACACAGGGTCTGCAGAAGCAATGTGGCTGCTTTATGGCTTTCTCAGAACAAATAGGGCAGCTCCCTTAAGCACAATTAACTCGTAACAGTGGCAGCATTACCAGCCCTGCAAATGAAACCCAAATGAGGGTTATGACAGTATTGGGTGGGTCTTGTTGGGGCCGTTTGACACCAGCCCTCTGCCAGTCCCATATGCAGTTTTGTGTCTCCTGCCTCCTTATGTCCTCCTGCTGCCACTAATGACACCCTGCCAGCAGCAAGCTATTTCCCCGTGAAGCTCCCAGGCTGTTTATAACCCAGCTGCCTCATCCTGCCAGCCACCAAACTGCTGCTTCTGCTCTCGTGTAGGGTTCTCCCTCTGGAACTTGGCTCACAGTACACTGGAAACCCCAGCACAGACTGGGAACCTCAATACAGTGTGGCTAAGACATAGGATATGTTGAACTGTGAGGAGGTGTTTGTGGTGTGACAGATATGGGTGTGAGGTCTAATTTTCTTAAATGTCTTTGCTGGGAAAATAAAGCAAACTCTAGTTTCAAACACCGGTGAAGAGAGAATTATAGATGAGGTGTAAAGAAATTAACACCCAAAAAGTAATAGTTTTGATCTACAATAAGGCAAACTGAAAATATTGTACAAAAAATCCAAATAGTATTCTAGTGGAAGAAATAACCTCAAAAAAGCATGAATTGGAAAGAGAACGATGGGAAACTCTCCTTTTTCTCCCCCAGCAACTACAAGCAAGTTTGCACAGGATATGGCACGGCAAAAGAACAATGTAATTTTGGCTCCATATGAGAAGCTGTAACAGCAGAAGGTTAAGTCATTTTCCTTATGATTTTGGCCTTAAATATTCAGTTCCATCCACAGCACTATCAAAGAGACAAAGATAAATGAGAAAGAGTTCTGAAAAAAGCCAGGAAAATAATCAGTGGCTAGAGGGCCAGATTTACTTGGAAATGTGTGCATATGTTTAACTTGTCCAAGCTTTTAAGGGTGGTTAAGGCGAACTCGTATTGGACATCTTCTTCTGGAACAGAGCACTTAGAAATACAAAGTTAAAAAAAAAAAAAAAGGTTAGCCGATAGTGGACTGCCAGAGATCCCAATACTGCTTTATTAGCTGCTGCTTCTGAGCAGCCACCAAATCACTCTAGTAGCAAATCCCAAAACAATGCATAAAAATAAGGGTTGCATTTGTATTCTGAGAAACGAGTTTAGTTTTTATTTCCTCAGAAACTCACTTTCAGAGACAAACCTCCCTGTCTCTACCTTATGCTTAAATAAGTAGTAGGCGCGCACACACACTCCAGTATAGTGCTGAGGATCACATTGACGGCTTGATATTCCTTGGCATTCAAAACACAGTCCTCACTCATACCAAGGCCTATGTGTTACACTCTCCATATAGCACACTAACAGAAGATGCTGATGAGTAGCAACACCACCTACGTAATAACATATTTAGGCCAGGACAAAAAGATGTACCTTAAGATAAAGAAAGGTTTAAAAAAAAAAGAGAGAGAGAGATAACTATGCAAAACACGTCATGAAAACGTCAAGAAACGTCATGACTCCAAGTATTCTGCATTTCTAACCACTTTTTTCAGACAAAGGCATAGAGAATACCCTGATGCTGGAAGCAAGTCTATGCAACTTGTTCAGGCTATTACCTATTACCTACACTGCCTAGCTCAGAGTGAGACTGGAAAAGCATTCTTGGGCAGAACAGCAGTCTGCTCTCCTGTCTGTGCCAACCTTCACAAATATGAGCATGTAGAAGTCTGTACTCCACCAGATCCATCAGGATAGTCTTGCCATAGACAGCTGCTGATAGTTAACAGGCTGTCTGCATAACGGTCCTGTGGACAAGAAGCAGAGCATCCTGTGCATGTGGCTGCTCCAAGAGCAGCTCTTTCAGAACAGCGTGAATAGTCAGCAGGCTGCTTTTATTTGAAACGTAGTAGGTAAGGATTGCTTGCTGGGTTAGCAGAACACATGGGGCATGACAAGAGCGTGCAGTAGTAAACAACACATCATATTCCCACATAGTACGACTATCAGGAGGAAAAAAAAAGGGGGCTACAGAACACCCAGATTCTCCCTTTCCATCTGAAAATTGGAACAGTAAGTAATTTGGATTTTGCCCTATTTAGCAAACACTTCTGTTACAGCAGGGGATATACTGAGTTTAGAGAATAAGATCTTATCTAGGAAAGGATTATGAATATTATCACAGATTAAACACTGTTTGAGTTATTAATGCTATTTCTATTGACACATCCAGTATACTAAAATACTTTGATAGGGCAGATATTCTAACCAATGCTTATCTTGTCTTTGGCATCACAAAATGCAAGTCAAAGAGAACTCAGTACTGTTCTTACTTTCACATTTTCTATTTTTGGGGAGTGGAAGGTGTCACAAAAAAATCATGAACAAGTATAGTGTGCATTTGTGAGATGCCTAGGCTCTCTGAGTTCCTGAGAACACGTGAAAATTGAAAGGGAAAGATGGGCAGCAGCTGGGTCAGCACACTTATGACATAAAGGTATTCAAACTTTGAGGATGGTGGCAAGTTCAATAACTTACCAAACATGTGAGTCCTACTACAAAGCACGTGCTACCCTTCAAACTCTTTGTAATATGTTTATTTATAGTTAGGTCAGTTTCAGTGGTTGATGTTGCAAAACCTAGCCTTTCAAAACTATTTGGAATACATTCATTGAAATGCAGGTTGAAAAAGTTCCTATTCATGAAAGTTAATTTGGATTTTAAGTTGCTATATATACAAGGTTATTCATTCTGGAATAAGTTCCTTCACCTATTTTAGCTTACTTCAGTAGTTAATTCTGGGACAGTTATTCTGTTCTGGATTTATTCCAGAATCGTCTTGGCTCCAGAAAGTCATGGAAGCATCTTTCATCAGACACACCTATAAAGCAGTATGCTCTGGGTAAAACAAGAATTAGGATTCTAGTTGAGTTAGGAGTGCAGATCACATAATTTATCATCTACAG